TAAGCCATGTTGTTATTTTTCAATTTGCCAAATTAATGTAAATGTTTGATGTTAAACTTTAATTCTGTAAATAAATGACCACATTCATTTGATGGGTCAAAGAAAATTAACGTCTCACGTTACATTTAATTAAATTCAATGCACGATATTATTCAGTCCAGAAAAATGAATGAATCCGTTTAATTTATGAATATATCACAGAATATGTTCATCTACAGTAATATCACTAAAATTAGAAACATCTTATCTAAAAATGATGCAGAAAAACTGGTCCATGCATTTGTCACGTCTAGACTGGACTATTGCAATGGTTTATTATCTGGATGTCCAGATACTTTTTTAAAACGTCTTCAGTTGATCCAAAATATTTTTGCCAGTATTAACTGGAGTTAGTAGGAGACATCATATCTCTCCAGTTTTAGTTTCTCTCCAATGGCTCCCTGTCAAATCCAGAATATAATTCAAAATATTGCTACTGACCTACAAAGCTCTCCACAACCTAGCTCCATCTTATATTACAGATCTTATTGTTCTATATTTTCCCAACAGAGCACTTCACTCTCAGACTGTAGGCTTTCTCGTGATAGCTAGGGTTTCCAAAAGCAGAATGTGAGGAAGATCTTTCAGTTATCAGGCTCCTCTTGTGGAACCAACTTCCAGTTTCTGTCCATGAGGCTGACACATTGTCCAGCTTTAAGACTGGGCTTAAGACTGTACTTTTTAATAAATCCTATAGTTAGGGTTGGCTTGTTATGCTGCTATAGACTTCGACTACTAGAGAACAAACTGACCTAATTTCCTTAAAAGAATTGTTAAAATTGAATAGTTTTCATTTGATACTATTTCTATCTTAATATGTGATTCTTGACCTGCCATTGTGTATCTGTTCTTACCAAACCCAGCCAGTCAAAGAAGATGGCCGCTTGTCCTGAGCCTGGTTCTGCTATAGGTTTCTTCCTCATGAGGGAGTTTTGCCTTTCCACTGTCGCCTTCATGCTTGCACAAGATGAGAGTTCTGTGAAGGAGTTAAACTCAAAGCAGTCTGCTCCTCAGATAAAGTCTTAAATTATTATTTTTATATATGAATGTTTCTGGTCAGTGCCCTGAGACGACTTCTGTTGTGACTTGGCGCTTTATAAATAAACTGAGCTGAACTGTATCTGCTCACACAGACTCATGTTAGTGCTGCTGTTGTTCGGCGTATTGTTTTTGTACTACTAGTACTTAGCGTATTTTTAGTTTAATGTTTTTCTTAGTTCATATCTTAGATCTTATTACTGTTTTTCTTTACAATTTATACCTTAGTTGGATGTAACTGGGACCCTGTGTACACAATTTCGTTCCACCACATGTACCACATGTGGTGCGAATGACACATAAAGAAACTTTGACTTTGACCTTGAAAGAGACTGGTCCTGTGGTTTATTTTGATCCATTTCCATCCTCGTCGCCTGTCACTGGAATGATAATTTTCTTGATGTATTCCATCACTTTAATGGAGTTGACAAACACCTTGTCTGTCCCTCCATGTGTGATGTGAAGCCGTGCTGGGAAAAGATGACCATACCAGACTGCCGGCTGGTGCCGCAGGAGCTGTTTTGCCTCCATGAATGCCTCTCCTGCCCTCACAACTTCTGGGGTCTAGTCAGCTGCAATAAATGTAGTTGATTCTTTGAAGTGGAGCTGACCACTGCTGAAGGCCCGCTGTAGTATTTCCACACGTACTTGATAGTGATGAAGCCTGGCCACGATAACTCTGGATCCTCCATCTGAGCTTCTTCTGCCTGGTGTCTGGTACGTGTAATCAATCAGTGGCAATTTTTCCAGTTTTAGGACTTCCATTAGCATTTAGTAATCATAGTAGATGAACATTCACCCACCAACTCAGGAAGTCCTTTATTTCTGATATTATCATGACTTGTATTTCCCTATGGATTCAAACTGTTTTTTAAGTCCATCGACTTCACTCTTTAACTCCGTCACCGTCCCACGCAGCTTCTCCATCTCCTCCAAGCACAAGGACAGACAGTTCTCAGTCTCTGAAACACCAAGTTTAACTTGGTCAAACTCTGCTCTGAGGTCCGCAGTGATGTTTGCAATTCAGTTTTGATCAAATTAAAATCATCCGTCAGAGCTGCTCTTATTTCCATCCTATGATTTCAGATTTAATTGAGGCCAGAGTGTCTGACCTCAGAGACGACTCATCTGTCCCTCCAGAGCTCAGTGAAGGTGGGACTGACGCACCTGCAGGTCCACCTGCTCCTCCATCATGGCGACCCAAGGCTGCTGCAGTGATAATAGGCCACGGGGGAGAAGAGACCACAGATTTTGACTTTTTTTGTTTAGAGGCCATATCACAAGTTTGTTGATTCAGTTACATGGTGACACCAGTCTCAGAGACAAAATCCAGCTTGAAGGCAGCGAGGATATAATCATAAAAAGCAGTTTTTCAGCGGGGCCGACGGGAGCTCAGCCAAAATACAGCTCACATGTCCACCGCCATGTTGATCTCCTCACAGCATGCAATTTTATGTGTGACTTTACCTTTAAATTGTTCTAAAATACTGGAGTTTTTGGAGGGAAATGTGGTCCTATTTTGCTTGATATTTGTCTCAAATATATGATATTCCCGCAAATGACTTTTTGAAATGTCACAGAATTAAGAAACACTTGTTTTTGGTTCTGGTGTTGTGAAGATCAACATTAATTGTTATGATCATAACCACAGCTGCAGACTTTATTGGTTCAGGTTTGGTTTATTTGTCATATGTAAAATGAACACAAGGTCCACAATACAATGAAGTGCTCAGGATGAGAAGAACCGTCTCGACTCACCAAAAAAAACCAACAGCAAATATCAAAGCATGCAACAAAAATACAAAAACAAGGCGCCAAAAGTGAAAAAGAAACATCCATCCATTATCTTCTACCCGCTTCTTCCATTTTGGGTCACGGGGGTCTCCGGTGCCCATGTCCAGCTATCATTGTGCGAGGGGCAGGGTACACCCTGGACAGGTCGCAAGTCCATCACAGGGACACATAGAGACAAACGAGACAAACAACCATTCACTCTCTCACTCACACCTAGGGACAATTTAGAGTTACCAATCAGTCTAACATGCATGTTTTTGGTCTGTGGGAGGAAACTGGAGTACCTGGAGAAAACCCACGCATGCACGGAGAGAACATGCAAACTCGACCAAGAAAGGCCCCCGGACCAGAACCAGGGACCTGCACGCTGAGAGGCAGCAGCTCTACCAGTTGTGCCACCTGAAAAATAAATAAATATACATAAATAATTTTTTTAATCATAAAAAATTAAATAAAAAGACAAATCTAATATTTGTGGTATTGACTTCCTAGAGATAATATTGTACATGCTCAAAGTCAGTATTTTGTGATGCATTGAGATTTAGACGCTTACTTCCGGTTCTTTGATTTCTAATTAACTTTTTTTTTTGTCGTTTCTATATATTCATTACTAACTATGGCTTCCTTTTCCAGTGAAAATTTATTTTAAAAATTATAATTTTAAATAATTGACTTTTCATCTTTGTGTTCGCATTGAATGATAAATTGTATTTTAGCTACCGGAAGTAGCACAGAGTGAAGCGTTTTCGTTTGTCCCTAAAAAACAAACTACAAAACCCATCATGCATTTCGGGAGTACGCCACTACTTCAGCTAGGCTGTAATGTTTTGGTTTGCGGACTAAAGTCCCAGTCTCGGTTAATGTGTGTAAAGTATTTGAACTTGTCTAAATGTGCGAGCGCTTGTGTGTTTAATAATGGACGCCTCGGAGCGGCACCAATCACTTTACAAAAAGAGTTCTCCGTCATGGAAAGAAACGTACCGCAAGGTTTGTAGTGAACGCGACAGTTAGCTAGCTTGTTAGCATCTTGACACGACTGACACTGTGCTGCCGTCATGTTCGTCTTGTGTTGACAGCGCTGTATGGACCGGCTGAGGAACAGTCGGTCCCGGCTGCTGGAGAGGTACCGGCACATGGGACACGGCCATGGGCAGCGGAGCAGCTCCGGGGCCTCCAGCATCGTCCAGGAGGTGATGGAGGAGGAGTGGAGCGCCCTGCGGTGTGAGGAGCAGAGCACGCAGGAGGTCTGTCAGACTCTCGGGCTCTTTCCTCTCTTTACTTCCATTTCCTCAGCTCAAGCTGTGTTTGTGTGAGGAACATGTGGAGAACTTGACTTTTGTTCCAGCAGATGTTCAGCTGGGTGAAGGAGCACGACGAGCTGGAGGTGCTGGATGAAATCCAACAGGAGCTCAGATCTCAAGGTACATCTATTGATCAATTATTTCAACAGGTAGCTAAAATACAAACAAGCCATGACGTCGGATGGATCGATGGTGTGAGGCATGTTTAAACAAATTCAAATGAGTCTGCTTGTTTTTGTTTGCCCTCCAGAAATGTCTATCTTAGAAGAATATGAGAGGAACCTGCAGTTTGAGCAGCAGTACATCTCGTCTGTTGTGGACGGGATGGATGACACGCACATCATATGCCCCGTATGTCATACGTGAGTCTGAATAGTTACAAGTTTCTATTATTTACACCGCCACTTCTGGAAAAGTTGGGATTTTACTTCGTAAATGAAAATGATTTTAAAATTTCATGAGCCCATTTTGTAAATTCTCAGTAGAACACAGTAAACATGTCTTGTGTTGAAAATACGAAATTGTACCATTTTCAGGAAAATATGCAGTGATAGGGAATTTCATGGCAGAAACACGTCTAAAACAGTTAGTCATCTTTACCGCTGTGTCTCCTCTTCTTTTCTCCTCTTTAAACCTTGAGAGACCTCTTGTGTTAGAATTTGGAGGGGGGTGTTTTCATATTGTTTGATAGAAGATTCTAAATGTTCAACAGTCCTGGGTCGTCTTTGTCAGATTTGTTTGTTTTATGATGTGCCAAAGGGCATATTGGTAGAGCTGTTGCCTCTCAGCGAGCAGGTCATTGGTTCAAATCCAGGCCTGTAGCCTTTCTGGGTGGAGTTTGCATGTTCTCTCCGTGCATGTGTGGTTTTTCTCCAGGTGCTCCAATTTCCTCCCACAGACCAAAAACATGCATGTTAGGCTGATTGGTGACTCTAAATTGTCTCTAGGTGTGAGTGAGAGCGTGAATGTTTGTTTGTCTCATTTGTTTCTATGTGTCCCTGTGATGGACTGGAGACCTGTCCAGGGTGTCCCCCATCTCTCACAGAGTGACTGCTGGATATGGACACCAGTGACTAGGCCTGTCGCAATAAACAACAAATCAATCTTTTCAAATCTTTTCTCTTTAAAATCTATTTTAACCGTACAAAATCGGGTTTTTGGATCGTTAAAATTAGCTAAGCTGAGAAGATACGCTAACAGGCCGACCGTGGGGAAAATACCTCCGTCTTGTCAAATCTCCAAAATCCAGGGTTGAAACCCGTGCCTTCGTGTATAAAGTTGTTTTTCTCTGCAAAAACAAGCTGAGAACTTTTTTTTTACTGATTTTTTTTATTTTTATTAAAAGCTTTGTGTGAAAAATGCTATGTTAAAGAGCTCAAACCACACTGAGCGTCTGCCATTTTGAGAATGAAAAAGAAAGGAGAGACAGCCCATGTGACGTCACGGGGCCTCCCTCCCATTTTTCTTAGTCACGCTGCTCGCTCCCTCACTATCCATCCTTTGGTTCAAACAGTCTTATACTGCCATCCAGTGGTCAAAAAAGATACTGCACACAAAATTAACCAACATTTCTTCTTAAATTTGACAATAATTACTAATTATTGTTAAATTTCAAACAATATTATCGTTTATCGCGGTAATTTCTGAGACAATTAATCGCCCAGCAAAATTTGTTATCGTGACAGGTCTACCAGTGACGTCCGTGACCCGAAAAGGAGGAAGGGAGGAAGGATGGGTGGTGCTTTCAGTTGCTGAGAGGTCTGAGCTTCAGGCAACCAAAAAAATTAAAAATAAAAAAAATATATATATATAAAATAAATTAAAATTTAAAAGTGTTTTCCCTACAATGGTAAAGTTTCTTATTTGAAACATTTTGACATGTTTCTCCTTTTTCCCTGTTATTCACAAAACTTTGCATTCTACTTGTATTTTACACGACGTCCCAACTTTTACGGTCTTGGGTGTTCACGTACTGATCAGCAGCGTCACGTACTGATCAGCAGCGTCGCGTACTGATCAGCAGCGTCACGTACTGATCAGCAGCGTCACGTACTGATCAGCAGCGTCACGTACTGATCAGCAGCGTCACGTACTGATCAGCAGCGTCGCGTACTGATCAGCAGTGTCACGTACTGATCAGCAGCGACCTCATGTTTCCCAGCCAGGCAGACTGTTGGTTCAGTGTTGTGTTGATAACTGCACAGAGGAAAAGACGCATGTTTAACACGTCTTTTAAATCCTGCAGGAACAACTTGACCATCAACAGTTATTTTATCTCCTGTCTCTGTGGACTTTACATCAACACCAAGGTTTGTGTCAGCCCAACTCTCCTAAATGTACAGATTTGATCATAAAAATATAGTGTTAAAGCTAAAATGTGAGTAATGTCTGCTTGTAATACAGTTTATGTGTAATTCCTATAAAAACCTGCAGATTTCGCAACATATTTATGTTGAACATGACTGTTGTCTGTTTAGAAGCGGAACATCACTCCAGACGTGCTGCAGCAGCTTCTAGAGTCCAGGGTGTCGGAACACATGGAGGACTGTCTGCATAATCCAGTTTTCTCTGTAAACCCCAACCCAGATAGTTCTTCCAACCTGCTGATAAGTTGCCAGGTTTGCTGCAGTCATTCACAAACTGCTCATGGACATGTTGATTATAGTGGAACACATTTGTAGCTCAGTCACAGTGAGGACAAACCTGCTTTCATATAAAAAAAGCTGCCAGAATGTAGAGGGTCTTGTCGGGTCTTACTCAGGTCCTGGATGCAGTAGTAGCATGGTGTCCTGTGTTTTGGAGTGCAAACACATCAGTGTGGTTCAGTTGTCAAGAATCTGAAGAGAGTCTGACCACGCTGGTTTTCATTTCACCTTTAGTTAAGCAGACGTAAACATTAAGAACAAGTTCTCCTGTACAGAGCTGGTGGCAGCACCAACTGGTCCTTGTAGGGTCAAGGGAAGTAAGAGAACCATGAAATGTAGAAGTCTTTAACAAACAAGGAAACACAAATTACATTAACAGTTCACTGTCAAAGTTCAACAACAGTACTAATCATGAAAACATTTGCAAGTATCTTTAAAAACGGCTTTTAAACTATTTTTAAAACTAGAAACTGAGACAAGTGAGGTCAGAGCCAAAGTTTGTTGAAGCAGGTTCCAGTCGGACGGAGCAGCAGAGACACACTTGCTCTTTGGAGTTCACCACAAATACTGAGAGGATCAGGTGTCCTACTTCCACACTGGTTGCAGTAGTTGTAGATTAGACAACCACCCTGTCCTTTGTGTGCTGGCAGCACCGATGCCAGAACACTTGAAGGTTTATTAATTTGTTTTAACAAGTGTAAAAATGTGAACATCTCTGCCCATCCCTAATTAGCATGTGGCTGCTACATCAGATACACCGTCAGTGACATCAGTGTCCTCGGTGTTGACAGAACTGCTGAAAAACAAAAGAAAGATGAAATCTCCAGAATGACATGGTCATGGAATGGAAACAAGCTAGCGCAGATGAAATACTTGTGCTAGCTCGATGCGCTCTTCTAGAGAACACTCGGCTCCGACGGACAAACACGGCCCACGAGATCTTTTAAAAGGACAATATTTTTATTCTCATTTGACATGAAAACTGAGCATACTTTATTTAATCCAGACTTCTGAAGACAGGTGGCCAACTTTGAAGCTGAGAAAAATGAGTTTGAATTTTTCTATAATTTTTTTTATTTTGATGTGGAAGAAGAGACGGAGAACGACATACGAGGCGAATAAATCTGTTGTTGAGGAAGCTGCTGCCAAGGGAAGACGACAGGTGGTGACAGACTGGAGTTTATGTAACGACTGAAAATGTTTGAAATAGTTTATTTTCCATTTTGGCCCCCTTCTGTAAATGAGTTTGACACCCCTATGGAGCGCAGGGGAAATCACGAGCATACATTATGTATATATACATAAAATGGTGTACAGTATGGTGTAGTGTAGTACAGTAGTCCCTCGCTACTTCGCGGTTCGTTTTTCGCAGGTTCGCTGTATCACAGAATTTTCAAAGTAAGATTGGACATGAGCGCAGCACGGTGGCACAACTGGTAGAGCTGCTGCCTCTCAGCGAGCAGGTCCCTGGTTCAAACCCCGGTCCAGGGGCCTTTCTGGGTGGAGTTTGCATGTTCTCTCCGTGCATGCGTGGGTTTTCTCCAGGTACTCCGGTTTCCTCCCACAGACCAAAAACATGCATGTTAGGCTGATTGGTAACTCTAAATTGTCCCTAGGTGTGAGTGAGAGAGTGAATGTTGTTTGTCTCTGTATGTCCCTGTGATGGACTGGAGACCTGTCCAGGGTGTCCCCCGCCCCTCGCACAGTGATGACTGCACATGGGCGACCCCCGTGACCCAAAATGAAAAAAGCGGGTAAAGATAATGGATGGATGGATATAGTATAGTATAGTGTAGTTAGTATAGTCTAGTATAGTCTAGTCTAGTATAGTATAATATAGTCTAGTATAATATAGTCTAGTATAGTATAGTATAATATAGTCTAGTATAATATAGTCTAGTATAGTGTAATATAGTCTAGTATAGTATAGTATTGTATAATATAGTGTAGTTAGTGTAGTATAGTATAATATAGTATACTGTAGTTTAGTATAGTATACTGTAGTTTAGTATAGTATACTGTAGTATAGTATAGTATAATGTAGTATAGTATAGTATAGTATAATATAGTGTAGTTAGTGCAGTATAGTATATTATAG